TCACGGCGGACACCACGGCGGCGGCGGGGCCCATCTCCTCGCCGTTGCCGCCCAGGGACGCGCCGGCGCCGGCCCCGGCCGCCGAGGCCAGCTGCTGCGCCCCGCGCGCGTAGCCATCGAAGCCGCCCTGGAGCTGGTGGCTGTTGCTGATGAGCGCCTCGACTGCGTCCTCGGGGCTGAAGCCCAGCGCCTCGGGGTTCAGCTGCTGCGGGTAGCCGGTCATCCAGTAGTAGTCTTCCAGGTGCGCCTTCTGCTCGCTGCCCGAGCCCGGGCTGGGCGCCGAGAAGCTGGGGGAAGGCGGCACGGAGCTGCACGGCGTGCTCATGGGGGTGGACGACAGCGAGCCCCCCGCGATGAGACGGCCGCACTGGCTGATGATGCGGTCGGTCTCCACCGGTTCCTTTTTCACTTCAAACTTCATCAGATCGAAGTCATTAACATATTCCATGGCCAGGGGACTGGTGGGCAGGTCGGAGTTGCTCATTGCCAGTTCTGATGCCATTCTCCTGCCGCCGCCGGCGCCGCCGCTCCGCCAGATGGGCTGCAGGAGAGGGGCCAGCGGGCTGTGCTGGGTGGCCAGCGGGTGAGCCAGCTTGCCGGGCTGGGGCGCGTCTAGCTCGCGCGGCGGTGGCTGGCCCGAAACCTCCGAGCGCGCACACACCCCCCCGCCCTGCCCGCGCCCCCCGCGCCCGCCCTCCCTCCCGCCTGCTCACGCCGAGGTGCTCGCTCGCCCCAGCCCCTCCTCGCCTGCTCGCCTTCTTGCGCGCGGAGCCGGCGGCTTCAAGCTCGGATAGGTCCTCCGCGGGCTGCGGTGTCGGCGGCGGCGAAGCCGGAGGAGCCCGGCCCGGTGCGCGGCGTCCCCCGCTTGCCTCTCCGCTGCGCGCTTTGCATAAGGAGGGCTCGCCTTGCTGGCCGGGCTGCAAGCGGGGCGCGCACGGCGGCCGCTCGGGGCTGGAGGCGCGGCGGCGGGCGGCTGTCCGGGCGGCGCGGGCCTTGGCACTGGGGAGTTAACACTTCATGCTTCTTGCCTTCTCTTCTGCCTGGCTCTTAAAAAAATTTTTTTCCCTCTCCTCTCTCTCTCTCCCTTGCGCTCGCTCTCCGTGCAAAGTGCAAGACAGAGGTGCAGCCCGGCTGGAGAAAAGGGAGGGGGAGTTTAGTTCTTTCTTGCCTTTTTTTTTTTTTTAAAGCAAAATAACGAAGTCCTAGGGAAAGGCGAGGCAGAGAGCAAAAGGGGGGAGACCGAGCCGAGGAGCAGCCCGAGCTACAGCTCGAAGATGAAAAAAGATTTTAAAGCCTCTGATCCAGCAAGAAGAGTTTAAAGCAATTGCTGAGTTTTATAGCACTTGTGACGTCAGGCCCAAATGGGAAATTGACGAGTACTCAGGGCCAATGGGAGGCGGCGAGAGCGGCCGCGATTGGCATATAATAGTATAGAAACAGGAAACTTTTCGGAGCTGTCAATCAGGGCCCAATCAGCTGACTGTCAGCTGGGACAGGCAGGCTTAACCCTTCCCGCGCCGCCTCCTCCCCAGGAGGGAGCAAACCCGGGCGTAAAGTTTGGTGCAAGAGAGGAATGAGTTTTCCAGAGGGGCTGCAGGAACCGGGAGGATCCGGAGGACTGTTTGCTTTACTTCGGAGCGCAAGAGAGGCCTGCCTTCCGGAGCCCCAGCTGGCCGCCACTCACTTTGCGGGGATTCGCCTGACTGCCCTCCCCCCACCCCCCATCCCCAGGATTATGAATTCTCCTGGCAGCCTTCTCTCTTCGCTTCACCTTCGAAACCCAGGTGTCTGCCCCGGGGATCTTCCTCCCCCCAGCCTGTCTGTGCCAGGAGCTCAAACTTGGCCCCAACTCTTTGTCCCTCTCTCCGTGCCTGCGCACGGGGGTGCAGGGGTCCTGACGGCGCGCAGGACGCCGCTCGGCCGCGCTCCTGATGGGGTGGTGAGGGGTCCGCGGAGAGAGAAAGACTGTGTTATCACCCTCTTTTAAAGGAGGCGAAATAAGTTGTTTAGAGCCCATTAAGCGTGGGGACCTGCTGCCTGCTAGCGTCTCGTGCCCTTGGGGGTGGGGGAGCGAACGCCTACGCGAGTTAACTCCGGCAAAGCTCAGTCAGGTCAGCCCCGCTCAGCCCTCTGGCTTCCGACTCTGGCTCGAGTTTGGCCTTTGAGATTCATATTCATCTCTCCATCCATCTCTTTCTCTTTCTGTCTCTCTGTCTCTCTGTCTCTCTGTCTCTCTCTCTCTCTCTCTCTCTCTCATACACAGGTTCACCACCCCCTATGAAATATGACCCCTGTTTATCAGGGTCCTGCGCGCGCCCTTTGCACTTTTACGTTTCACTTAATTATTTCAGACTTGATCATGGCGAGCAACAAGGGGGAAAAACAACACCTCAGTCTTTGCCAGCTCCCCTGGAAGGGTTAAGTTTTAAACCGCTGTTTCTCGGACAAGCCCGGAAGCTCAGAGTGGGGGGTAGGGTGGGGGGCTGCTTCTCCCCCTCCCCGTTGCAGATGCTAATAACTGTTCAATTTTCTAGATCGATTCTTTTAAAGCTTATGCAAAAAAGAAAAAAGAAAGAAAGGAAAAGAAAAAAAAAAGAAAGAAAAAACCAACAACTCTGTTTCTAAGATTTTAAAGCGATAGGCAAGTCGGAGAAGCCGAGATTTATTTGGGGGAAAAGCTAGAGTGTGCGGAGCGGACCCAGCGTTTGGAAGACCAGCCCGCCTGCTTGGATGTTGGGACTGTTGATTCCTCCAATTAATGAAATGCATTTGGTGTTAATCATGTTTATATATATATATTTTTTTACTTTATGGGAGGGGGAGAAGCTAGAAGGGTGCATTAAAAAAAAAATTGTGAAAGCCTGCAAAATGATCGAAGAGTGAAAACTATTGTTGGACCGAGTTGGTTTTTACCTCAACAGCGCCACCTTTCGGCAAAGGTCAGTTGAAATTGATCCGTGTCCAGTTTTGTTGATGAAGGGGAAAGAAGCTGGTTTCCCAAGGTGGGAGGAGGAAAGAGGCACCCCAAGTTAGTGTGACTGCAGCAGGAGAACCCGACCTTGGAGGAAAGGGGCTGGAGACGGTGCGGGGAGATGAAAGAATTACGTTTATCCACACTGTCCCCCTTGATTGTCCACTACGGGGCCAGGGGATACAAAAGCCTCGGGGGTATAATTCTGGCTGAGAGACTTTATAGCAAGTGGATCCCATGTTAACAGGGCCCCAAACCCTTTAAAAGTGCCAGGATGGATTTCCAGCGGGCTTTATGGCAATATCAATGGAATTAAAGTTACTTGTAATTCAGTGATAAATGAGATGTCTCTAGTAAGGATGAAGTGCAGCGCTATAAAGTGTTGTTTATCTGAAAAGTAATTCTCAGAAAACCTGACTTCTGACACTTAGTCATATATTAAGCCAGCTTCTTGAGCATTGCACTTCAGAATGCTCTCACCCACCCCATAGCATACTTTCCTATTTATAACGAGACCTTAGGTGTCACTCACTAGCTTCAGACACCAGACTTGACTCGTGTTCGTGTCTCTGATGCTAGTAGCCTTCAGTTTCAGCAGACCCCAGAGTCCCTAATGAGAGATACCCACCCCCAAAATAAAAAGGTTTGTAGGCACATCACAATCCTAAAAGGCTAGTGCTGTTGGTATTTTCCCGAAAAGCACCTTTTCTTTTCATCATTACTGCAGAGAAGCTGTTTCTAAGAGTAGTTTTGGTTTTATGGGAGTGCTTTGTAGGGGTGGAATGAAGAATGCCGATTACCAGTTTGGAGAAGAAAGAGTGAAGATTATGTCAATATTTATGCAAGCTAACAGAATTCCTTTGCTTTCCACCTCTCAAGCAGTATTTTACCTAGTAACGAAGTTAAGGGATTATAGTTTATTTATTCAGAGGAACATCCACTGCTTCAATAATATAAACAAATTGTGTCATTTAGCACTGTTCATAGCAATAGTTTTCTAGGCCTAGTTTATCATTAGCCACAAATTCTGAGGTTTCTATTTTTCATATAAAACATGAATTTAAGTATAGTTAATAAGAGTTAATTCTTTTTTTGTTTTTGAATTTTTTTTTATCCTTTTGCACCGCATTTTTGTTAAAAGCTGTAAGATAGGATCCTTGCCTCTCATGAAAGTATTTTTGGCCAGGAATACTGAAACTGCTGCATTTATAAACAACATTTATAAACAAAGCTTGCTAATGAAAAAGACCATACGATATAGATTCATGGCCGTGCACCTAATTGTTGCAAGTAGATATCACTTCTAGAAATGAAATGCCCATTTTGGGTAGCTAAATGTATTATTATCTACACATTTTTTATGGTTTATTTTTGTACACTGCTGTCAAGCTATGTTGTTTTTCTTTCTCTTATTGCAGAGTCTTTGATAGTCTCCCATTTTGTCTTGAAAAAAAAAAGAGGGTCAGAATTATTTTTTAGATGTATAGCAGTAGTGCTCTCAGGCTTATAACTTAATTCTCATTTTTGTCCTTCTTACTTCATTATTTTGTGATTCACAGGGGTGTCCAAACATTTACAGTTCTCTGTTAGCGGCATTTCTTTGATAACAATTGAGCTCTCTCATTTTAATTAGTACTATTCAGGTTTTTGATTCTGTACAATTACAGCAGGCCACATTTCTTGAGATTTCTTTGCTAGCATTGTTTGTTTCACTTCCATCCAAGCCCATCTAATCCAAATACAATATGAACCGTATTTCCTTACTGCTTAATATCCCTATGCTATATATACATGCTAGTAATCTCTGTAGAACAATCTAGAGTAATTTTGAAACCATGCGTTTGTCATGATTGACCAATTCAAACCAGTAGCATTAAAGTTTCTGAAAGCCGTGAATATTTATAGAAGGATTTTGGGAGGGAGGAAGGCATGAGTCGAGTCATGTAGAAGACGGCAGAACCGTAGCATCCAAAACACAATTGTAGCTTCACGTCAGCACATACCCAACAACTTCACGCAGAAAGAAGAGAAATCCTACTCATGTCCAAACTGCAATGATTAAAAGTAAAAAATAATATATTTTTTTCCTGATCACAGTGACTCATAGCAACTCAGGTAAATCAGGTTGAAATCAGGCATATATAATCTGAAAAGGATAAAATGCATCAAGTGTAGTGTCCATTCTCTTTTGTTTCTCCAGGAGCTGATTTTATGGCGCAGAACTAACCAGAGTCCACTAAATTTCGCTGTGAAACCAACTAGAGTGATTTGAGACAAGAGTTGTTCAGACTAACTGAATGATAGGGCATGTACTGTTCTTAGGTCTGGTGTTAGATAAATTCTTTTTAACAGTCTTTAGTTAGCAGGGTAAGTAAATCACAAATCACTGTTAGCAGATTCATGGAAGAAAATTAATAGAATCAGACGAGATAATCTGATAAGGGTAAAATCGCTGAGGAAACAGTCTTGCCTCATATTGGAAAATGTGGAACAACAGTCTGATTACTAGGAGTTGTTATGAATAGGTGAATTATGTGCTAAATAATCATCAGAGTAATTCAGCGTTTATTAATTCTTTTCTCTTTAAGCAATTCACAGTTGTAAGTTAAAGCCGCTCTCTCTTTGAAGACACATCTTTTATAATTTTTATTAGAGGTAATTTATTATTTGCATTACCTGTATTTACTTCATAATTGAACATTTTGCATTCAAATTTATGTAATGCATTATGCTTGAGAATATATTTCTGCCTGATTAGCATAAATAGTCACTTACCTCATGAATTACTAACAAAGTTTATCTTAAAATATAGGTTTTTTTATTAAGTGGAACACAAACATATGTACAATAAATTCTGATTTTCCGGTACAGTTAGAGAACAACTCACAGTTGATTTCGGGAAAGCTAGGCTGCAAGGGGAGGAGGTAATCTCAAGAAGGAAGAAAAAATAGACAAGTGAGATTGGTAGGTTTCTTTCAGGGGGAGTCAGTCCTTTAGATGGGGGTCTATACCTGGGGTAGGGCTAGTGGGGAAGGGTGTAGGCTCTTCATATACTGTTTAGATTGCTTTCCGAATGATCTCGTCATGGATTGTGGATTCTGACAAAACCTGTAATTCATCTTCTATACCTTTGTGAAGGACCATGACAGCAAGTGGATGACACTGACAGTTTGGCATTTGTTTATTTTATGTTGATTTTGTTTGTTTGTTTGTTTTGGTCTTCCTAGACTTCTACCGTGAAACACAATACATATCATTCCATAAAATACTTCTTTGTTTTGCACAAGAGATGTGAAAAACCCAGATGTTTTCTCAAGTGAGAATTCCTGGGCAGGTCTCCCAAAATTTGCTCCAGCTTTCTTCCCTTTCTTCCCCGGAGAAAGACACCCAAACTGGCCTGGAAGACGGGAGGTGATTAATTTATAGTTGTGTGCATACATGCACATTTGAATGAAAGGACTTGTTCTGGTTTTAGGGCAATAGACGGGAGATACAAAATGACAAGGCCCCTTTCCCCACTCTTGCCATTCCAAATCAACAGATTTCCATGACTGCCTTCTTTTCCTCGTTCCCCTTTTCAGGGTGTAACCGTCTTCTTAGAGTTTTCTTTTCCTTCCATTAGGGAGTGCTTATGATTCGCTCCTTCATTGTCATCCCTTTTGATCCTATTCACAGCTTATGCCGATGAGGGAATTTGTCTCAAGAGCATTCAAGCCTTCAAAGATTTTTATTGTGTTGAAATCAGAACTGATTAAAAAAAAGAAAAGAAAAAGGCAGGAATAAAAAAAGGGGACCTGATATTGGGACAGTGTTTATTCAGGCTGTGTCTTTTATGCATGATAACTCAGAAGGCTGGCTGTCGGAGGTGCTAGCTCTGTAAAGTTTGGGCCACTCTCTTACCCCAGGGAGACGGGGTGATTCGTAGGTCTTGTAACACAGGCATTTAGCAGTCATTCGAGCTGGGAAATGGAACCTGGAGTTCTAGAAAACACCGACCCAACTTAAATACTTGTGTGATGACTAGGAGGAGTTGTGTTGGTGCTGACGGTGGCTGAATTTGTGTGTTTCTGAATTTGTTTGGCTGGAGCCTGAGGAAAGGGACCCCTTGTGGCCCTGTTTTATATGTTAGCTCTTGGTTGCATAATGGGTTTTGCTGAGCGTTCTCACGTGCCGTTCTGTTTGTTGAACACGCCAGACGTGCCCGGCGACACCCTCCCAGCATCATTCATCACGATAGTGTCCCTGATCATCGAAAGAACAGGGAATTCGGGCTAAACAACCTTCGCCACTATAAAAATGAAAGTCACATTGATAGACCTTCTGCTAGTGTTTTTATTTAGTTACTTTATAACAGGGATCCACGAGGATGCTGTTGGTTAAACCTTTGAACAAGACAGAAATAGGAGGATAACAAACACAAGAACCACTATCGCCTCATCGCCACCCCAATCCTGTAATCCTGGCCTCAGGTGTTACCATCTATAACAACTGCGGTCTGTGCATATACTTTTCACAGCATGGGATCACAGTATGCACACAGTTCTTTAACTTGTGTCCCCTGCAACACATCCACCTTAACAACCTCCAAAAGCAGTTTGGGGCACTCCTCTATTCTATGGCAAAATTCACCTGATAGAATCTCAGACGGAGGGGAGTTTAGAGACCTGACCATAACACCCTCCTTCCAATCAATGGTCAGAATCTTCTTTGCAATGTTCTGGCACGCGAGTCACAGCATGCATGATTGATTTTACTCGGCACAGCAGATGCCATGCCTAGGACCCATGAAACTGTGAGGGGCCCAGGAAAATGTTTAAATTTCTTTTAAAATCAGAGGAAGAAAAACAAATATAATCTAGCATGGATTATATCTGTCATTACACCAACACAGTCATAAAATAGAATTAATTTTTATGGAGGAAGGGGTCCACAGAAACCAAAGTGCCTAGCACCCACGAAAGTCCATGTGTGATCTCAACAGCATGTACTTGATTGCCTCCAGTGACAGGGTGCTCATTACCTATCAAATTTATCTTACACCCTGTCTATTTCCCCCCAGCTCTTGAGGTTGTCAGGAAAGCTTTTGTTTTTCTAATATGAAATCATACCCCTTTCTTCTATACACGAGTCCTGATTTCATACACTCTTCAGGCCACGTATAATGAACCCTTATATACCTCAAGGTCTCTGGGGAGTAGAAGTCTAACAATATGACACCCTCTCCCTGCCTTTCGTTTCTACATTCTAAACATGGTCAGTGCCTTTAG